CACCGTCACTTGTCACCCCCCTCCCCACGCAGCCCCACGTCCCGCTCGCACCCCCTTCCTGGTCGGTCTCTGGGGCTGACCCTCTGCCCAGCCCTGCCCGTGGCCCCCAGTCAAGCCGAGGGCAGGATGGGGACAGGAGGGGACGGCAGAGCTGTGTCCCCACCCCACCCCATGCCACAAAACGAATGCCTAGCCTTCTCCCAGCCGGCGGCAGGGCCAGGGCTGCCCTTGCTGTGCTCTGCTCCCTGCTCACCCCCCCGTGTCCCCCCCAGGCCCTGGGGCTTCCTAGGCAATCGGGGGGTCAGAGCCGACACACGCGTGCGGGGAGCAGGCATGGCTCAGTCCAGCTTCGCGAAGCCCCCGATGGTCACTTTACGCTCCTGCTTGTTGGCCACCAGCTCCTGGAGGTGCAGGGCCCCCCCTCCGATGAAGCAGAAGGCAGGGCAGATGGGCCCTGAGCAGTCCACGCCGCACTCCCAGAGCTCACGGAAGGAGACGGCGTCGTAGAAGCTCACCTTGCCCTGCTCGTAGTCCAGGCAGATGCCGATGCGGGGGGGCAAGGGCACGGTGCAGCCGTTGGGGTCACGGGAGGTGAGCGCCGACCCGTGCGAGAGCAAGATCTTGCCCATGCCGATGGTGAGGAAGGCGTAGGGCGGGGGGGCCTCCACTGTTGTGTCCTCCGCCCCGCTGTCGTGGCCGCTGTCAGGGTCGTACCTGCAGCGAGGGGGATGGGTGAGTCCCAGCACGGAGACACAAGGGACCGGCTGGGGCTCCCCTCCGTGCCTGGCAAGGAGGCAGGACCAGGCAGAGGACCCTCCCGCCCCTGCACCCAACGAGGGGCTCACCTGGGGCTCACCACGTCCTGCGGCACCTGGAACCACTCCTGAAGCTTGCTCTCCAGCCCCACGCCCACCTTGACCAGGTAGGAGCTGGGGTCCACGCAGCAGGCCCAGTAGCTCTTGCCCTGCGTGATGGCCACGTCGCCGATGACCAGGTCGATGGAGAGGTGGCAGCTGGTCATCAGGCGCTCGGCGGCAAAGAGCATGGGGATGCCAGGGACGCTGCGCACGGCGCGCTGGTCCTTGCTGATGGCCAGCCGGTCCCGGTTGAAGCCCCAGCGGTTGTCCAGGAAGAAGTTGAGGACTGCGGGGAGGAGGAGAGGAGGGTGAGTGTCCTGGACTGAGAAACACAGAACTAATTTCTCCCCTAACACTTGGGAAAACTGCACTTTTATAAGGCTCCAGTGTCTGAATTTGTGAAAATATTTACTTTAGAGCCAGTGAGGTTCTGTGAGACTGAAGATCTCAGGGCTCTTGAACCTTGCCAGGTACGGGGATGAGGAGGAGTGAGATCTGGGCACTTGACCCAAGCCGCCAACAGGGTTATTTCATATCACAAACGGCACAATCAATAGGAACTAGAAAGTTTCCCGAGGAGCTCTCTCTCTCTGAGAACTCCTTGCCCCGGTGCCGGAGCCCTGAGCCCTTCCCTCCCTCCTGAAGCCGCAGCGCTCGCAGGGTCCCACATGGGCTGTCCCTGCGGGGAGAGCGCGGCTTCTGCTGGGAATGGGCTGGGGACAGTCCTGGTGTGTTTTATATTGGTATCGGGATCAATACTGGTTCTTTGGTATTACTAATGTTAATCATTTAGTCTTATTCTAGGAAATTAGAGGGATGGAGCACCTCTCCTATGAAGACAGGCTAAGGGAGCTGGGATTGTTCAGCCTGGAGAAGAGAAGGCTCCGGGGAGACCTAATAGCGGCCTTTCAATACCTGAAGGGTGCCTATAGAAGAGCTGGAGAAAGACTCTTTGCCAGGAAGTATAATGATAGGACAAGGGGAAATGGTTTTAAATTGGAAGA